TGTTGGGTGATTTCAACCAGTTGTGACTAATTCAGCATAGTGTGATGTCTGTGCAGAGTCCCGATAAGACCACCATTTTGTTCCAGTCCAGATACTTAAAGAGAGAGAGTTGGAAACGCTCTTGTTTTTAAAGGCCGTTCTTTCTTCATTTATGTCAATCCTTCCCCAAAGGAAGGTGCCTTGGTCTGGTAGAGCATCTGACTTCCCCCAGGTGCTTTGGCCCATGAAATCTTTGATCAAGGCAGAATTGTTTCTTTTTTACCAAAAATCCCTGTGGTCGCCATAGTGAGAATAGATGTAGCTCCGGGTTGAATTGTTGGGTTCTTGGTGTTCTCTGAACTTGGTTGGTTTCTTGCAGATGTTTCATTACCAGGCTAGGTAGCCTCATCAGCACGTGGGGGAGTGGAGTTTGCTGGCTGTTTATATGGGTTACCCCCCCTCGCCCCTACAGCGGCAGATGCCCTGCCTGGATATGAACTTAGTCTGGATTAGGAATGAAAGAGAGGAAAGTCATACATGCATAGTAAAAAAGGATGGCCATGAAAAAAAGTAGGCAGAAAAACATACCACTTCCAGATTTTTTTTTTTTTTTAAAAGGAGGGGGGGGAAATACAAAACCTTTCAAGGTGCCAAGGAAGTGATTTGTTTATTCATGAAACCAGCCGAGTTAGCAATTGTACTTTCTGATGCATTTTGTCTGGCGCCATTTTGGATGCAGGCAACAATAACCATTTTGAACAATGCGAGTTAAGCAGCGCACCATTTGTTTATAATATTAACACCTTTCTTAAGCATAAAAAGAGGGCCTTGGAGACCTCAGATGCAAATATAGGGTTTGTAGTTCCAAAGATTAACATTCATACCCATCCTGCTATTCTCTTTGGGGTAAGAAATGTGATGCAAAGCACGGAGAAGGAGTAAGGAACAATAAACCAAGGGAGCTGGAGGCAGGAAATAAGAGAGAAGAAAAGAAAATGCATTTAATCGAGTTTCCACCAAAGTCATTCAGTTTTCTATCCTGGCAAACCATCCTTTCTCCCACCAAGTCCATCCGCCACTTCATATGTTGGCTTTTGTTCTTTATTGACCGGACCGTCTCTCTTTCCAGACCGCATTTTATGAAAGCATTCAAAGGTTAGGAAACCCATTAATGGTGCAGAACAATAAAAGCTGGCTTATTGCTGATTTTTTTCCCCCTTAAATTTTGGGATAACTGTAAAAATAAAGAGAGCAGTAGCTCATGGAGGCTCTTTAAGTGCTGTTTAACAAGCGTTTTCTCTGAAATCCTAGAGGCTTTCTCATCTAACGTGAATCTAAATTATCTCAGGGTTGCATTGGGGTTTAAAAAGGGTTAAGATGGTTAGACTATCATTTGGGGGGAGGAAATGCTGCTATTCATGTTCCATTAGCAAAAAGTCCCAGTTTTCAATATCACTGGGTAGGGCTGTGAAATCCTATGTAGATAATTTATTATTTATTAGTATCACACTAGGCGAGAGACGGCCTGCCCCGTTGAATGCCCTCTTGGTTAGAAATGCTCCCCCTTGCTTACTATCTGGAAGGATCACAGAAGTAGGCTGCTCGCTGTCCCCCGTGGGAAGGGGCATCAGACAATACATTTCTAACATTCAGCTCCATTGATTTTCCAACAAGCAGACTCACTTAGATGAATCTAAATCACACAGGGAGCTGAATGCATCTTTCTGACTATAAACTAGATTAAGGATGGAGTAGGAAGAGAGGTGCATAAAGTTACATTTGTCCTGAGATGACATAATGGGAGGGAGCTCATTACAGACTCATGCACGACTCACAGCTATCAATATTGTTCACCCTGGGAGTAGTAGAAAGCAGTTGTAAAAAATTAGCTCTGGTGCGCAGGGTGAATTGTTCCCCGCCTCTTCTTAAGCCATTGTAGAAATGGCTTCCCGTTTAACAAGATGGGGGTGCGCACATTGTCTTCCCCTGGCATTAATTCCTTGGGGATGCTGATGTATGCTAAGTGTTGCTCGAGCAGTTCCTGCAGGTGAAGGACATTGTGACTGTGTTCATGGGCACCAGGACTCCAGACATGGACAATGAATGCCACTGAATGTCCTCTTTGGATGGGGAGAAGACACGACAACCTGTTGGAGATGATCTTCCTGTACAAAGAATGAGCACCCTACAGCATGACCAGTCAAATCTTGTTGCTCTGCTTTGCTTTTCATGTTGTCTAGGGAAGGTTGGCCCTTGAATAGCAATTCTAGTTGCCTTTTCCTTAACCTTTTTTCAGCCCAGGAGAATGCAACACTTCTCTTTTCAATGTACAGGTAGTCCTCGCTTAATGACCATTTCTTTAACAACCATTTGAAGTTACGATGGCGCTGAACGAAGGGACTTAAGACTGGTCCTTGCACTTATGATGGTTACAGCACCCCTGTGGTCACTTGATTGCAATCCAGGGGCTTGGCAACCAGCTCACACTTATGATGGTTGCAGTGCCCCAGGGTCACGTGATCGCCATTTGCAACCTTCCCAGCTGGCTTCCAGCAAGCAAAATCAGTGGGGAACTGCGTGATTCACTTAACAACTGTGGTGATTTGCTTAACGACTGCTGCAAAAATATGTGAAATTGGATGCGGTCACGTGATGCCTCGCTTAACGACTGCCCCACTTAACAATGAATTTTCCAGTCCCTATTGTGATCATTAAGCAAGGACTACCTGTAATGTTTGCCTCACCACACTTAGCTGAGCACCAAAGAGCAGACGTGGAGCGTTAACAGCCACTGATTTTAATAGGATCTGGGTAACAAGGCTATCTGATCTCATCCTAGGCTAGGGAAATTATCACACTACATGCTCACTGTTAATGTAATGATGTTGTGCTCACTCAACCCAGTTTTCTGGATTCACATGAGACAATGAACCACAAAGTAACCACACATACAATGCACAGGTTTAAATGTGATTCACTAGTTTGTAGCTCAGTGTGCTCACTTGTTGTAGGAGCACATCCCGCATCGTATATTTATATCAGAGGTTGAGTTGGCAAACAGTGTGAAATGTCTGGGTTAGCCAGGCAGTACAAATACAGGCATTTCCGCATTTCTGAGAAGCAGCTGTTTCTTGGCTACTCTCAGATATGAGCAATTAGACCAGAGAGAAGTTTGATTTTTTCCAAGAAGATTCTACTAAAGTTCTTGGCTTCCTGCACTTCTGAACCAGCCATCCTCATTCCTCTTTCATTCGGGCTCCTTCTTAGGGAAGCTGCTGACACCTTGCCTGGGAACAGACTCTTGGTCTGCATGGGATGTGCCCATGGTCCCAGGCCTGACTCAGAGGTCCAATCACTGCTGACTCCACGCAGCATGCTAAACATTATATCAGGGTCAACAGACAATAACTCGTGTGTTCGTATAACACGGCCATACTGCAGTTTAGCATGAGGGCCTCATTCACCCAACATGCTAAAACAAAGGCTGGGTTCCAGCAACATTCAAACCACAAACCATCCAACTCTACTGAAGTCCAGTTTGGTGTGAACCTAGCAATAAGAGAGAAGCGATCCAAGGCAGAACTGAGAACATGTTTCATGCACGTTCACGGGCGCTACTGTCAGCCCTCCCAGGTAAACCAGACAGGAAACACGACCAGATGAGCTAATTCTACTTTATTGATAGGAACATTAACAGAATCTTGCAAATCTCCCTCCCTCCCTATTTACCACCTGAGTAATCAGGGCAGTCCTTCCTAAGTTTCTTTCTCTGGCCGTTCCCCTGCTGCGGACTCCTTCCTCTTTGATCCGATTGTTCCCTAGGCACCATCTCTTCCCCACTGTTTCCCAAGGTCACCCTCACATTCCATTACAGCTACTGTGATGAATCTAGTATGAAGTATTTCAAGAGTCTGAGCTTAATTCGAATTAAGTTAGATAAATTCCATTAAGTTATCCCATTGATTTCAGTTGAAACAATCTAGGCTAGCAATGGGAGGGTTGGAGCAATGATGGATGAGGAAGTGTCAGGAAGTGGTCACTCAATGGTTGAGAGTAGAACGGAAAGGGAGACCGGGCTCTTGAATTTAGAGAGTGCAGCTCACAAAGAAGGAAAGGAAGAAGATCTGGGGTTGGCTATGGGTTACTTTTTAGGTCCAGTGGTAGTCTGTGTTCTTTTGGCTGCACTCATTAAGAAGGTGGGGGTCTGTTACTACTTACCTTTTCTTATGAGTCCATCTGGTCAAGACCTGTCTCGTTTTGCCTTCTATTTTCCTGCTTCCTGTCCAGGTGAACGCAGTTTCCAGAACCTCAGTATTTGTATACTGTATTTTATGCTCATGGTACACATCACACCTACACCTCCCTATTTTGAGTTATAAATTTCATTTCCTTGATGCTAATTCTTTTACCTGATTGTATCACAGACATTTCCTTGGAGTAAAAAAAGGCAGCGGCGTAGCAACTACCAATAGGTTAGACCAGCCTTCTGCCATCTGGGGCTCTCAAGGTGTGTTGTACATCAGTTCCCTGTAAGCGGCAGCTAGAACGGGGAAGGCTGGTCAATACAATAAGACAGTGATTCTCAACCTTGGCAGCTTTAAGATGTGTGGACTTCAACTCCAGAATTCCCATGCTGGCTGGGGAATTCTGGGAGTTAAAGTCCACATATCTTAAAGCTGCCAAAGTTGAGAAACACTGCAGTAAGGTATGAAGCCATGGGTCCACATGTTTAATCAACCAAGTGAGTATTCTGAGGAGTGATGCATCATGTAGGTGCTTTCATACCTGTCTAGGTCATGGTAGGGCAAGTTCTGAGAAGATTCCGGAAAGGAGGAAGCTCTCGTGGGCAGACTGCGTCATCTTGGGTTCTGCAAATGAATGCTCTTCTTCCAACCTCTTTTGTGTTACATATGTACAGAAGCCATCTGCTGGCCTGATAAGAATAGGAAGCACGCTGACGAGAAGACAGCTCTTGTCATTCTTCCTGACAACAGGACTTTCTCTCTTTTTCCTCTGCTCAGGGCATCTTCTCTCCGGTGGAACACAGGGACGAAGGAGCGGATGCTCATCAAGGTGACAGACCGGGAGCCCAGCTTCCTGATGCACCAGGGCAACGGCTACACCCTTGACCATCAGCAGGGTACACGGTCGCGGAGGCCCTCGGGGGGCCAGCCGTCCCCCAACCTTCAGACCTTTGCCACTGATTCAGACAACTCGGTCTTCTTCCCAGAAAGGAAGCAGTCGCCCTTCCTGAAACGGGCTGATCACGTGGGCAGCTGCTCCCCGCTGCTGGGCCGGGGGGAATCGTTCTGCTCCCCGATGCAGGCCCAGCACCGAAAGCACTCCAGCGAGTCCCAGCCCTCCTCTCCGCGCTATGCCTACGAACCCCCCCTGTATGAGGAGCCTCCTATGGAGTACCAGGCCCCCATCTACGATGAGCCGCCGGTGGACATGCAGTTCGAGGCCAGCGGGAGCTACAAAGCTGGCTCGCCCCAGAAGTCGCCCATCCGCAAGCCCCACCCGTTCCTGCAGTCGCCCAAGCAGGGCTCCAACTCCCCCTACCAGCAGCTGGTCTTGACCAAGCAGAAGGGCTCGGACCGCTTCATGAGCTTGGAGTACAGCCCCGCCGGCAAGGAGTATGTCAGGCAACTGGTCTACGTAGAGCAGGCGGGCTCCAGCCCCAAGATGAAGAGTGCCCCCCGGCACAAGTACTCCCCCAACCCCATCGGCGGCTCCTACTCGCTCCAGCACAGCCCCTGCCTGATGCGGGACCAGCGCCTGGAGGTCAAATCCGGGGACTACAGCAGCATGGAAGGGGCAGATTTCCGGCACAGCCCTCCGGCCGGCCAGCCGTCGCAGGGGGAAGACTCCATGTCCTGCTCCAGCCAGCAGAACACGTTGTCCTCCACGGGCTACTCCCCGGGCAGCCGCAAACGGAAGAACAGGAAGCCCGCTCTCTCGTACGACCCCAACACCTCTTCCACCGACGGCTCTGGGGAGCGGGAGGAAGTGGCGCCGGAGGAGAGGCCTCCCTCTGGGTGCGGCCGGCCCCAGGGTGGGCGCTTGGAGAGCCGGTCCATGGAGGGCGAGCCCAGCAGGGCCTTTGCGGAGCCCTTCCTGGCCCAGGCCCGCCTGGCCTGGGAGGCGCAGCAGGCCCATTACCACATGAAGCAGCGCAGCAGCTGGGACTCCCAGAAGGACGGTTCGGGGTACGAGAGCGACGGTGCCGTGCCGCTGCCCATGCCGGGCCCGGTGGTGCGTGCCTTCAGCGAGGACGAGGCTCTGGCCCAACAGGAGAGCAAGCACTGGAAACGGAACCCCTTCGAGAAGCTGGCCTTTCCCCAGATCCTGCTGGAGAAGAGCGTCTCTGTGCAGACGAATTTGGCATCGCCCGAGCCCTACCTGCATCCGTCCCAGGTAAGACGCGCCGGGCCGGGAATAAAAACGGGAGGTTGAAGGAGGGCGGCCGTGTCTTTCGGGTGAGAGCTGCGCCTCTTTCCGTTCGCCTTTTATTTCAAAATTGCCGCGGTTGACGGCCTGAGCGAAAAACGTACCCCCCTCCCCAGACCGCCCTAAGGAGCCACCAGGATGTCACAGCTGTCCGAGCTCAAGTGATGCCGATGATGCAGTCTGAATCAGATGCGAAGCTTCACCCCGAGCGCGTGATGACGTCAAGAAGCACGCAGTGTCACTTCCCCCATGCCCCCATCTCAAAAAACCCCAGGTTCTCGGGACGTAATGCTTTATGACAGTGTTGTCCAAACGTGGCCACTTTAAGATGAGTGGACTTCAACTCCCAGAATTCCCCAGCCAGCA